CAGACATGAAGTCTTTATCCCACTCTACTCAACACATTCCAGGTCACACCTGGAATACTGTGTTCAGTTTTGGTTCCCACTATACACAAAAGACGTGGACAAGCTGGAGAGGGTCCAGACGTACCACCAAGATGATCAAAAGACTGAGACACCTGCCCTATGAGGAAAGGCTGAGAGAACTGGGTTTGTTCAGCCTTGAGAAAAGAAGGCTTAGGGGAGACTTTCATGTTCCAGTATTTAAACGGTGGCTACAAAGAAGATGGAGACTCCCTTTTTACAAGAAGTCACATGGAAAAGATGAGAAGTAATGGGCACAGGTTACTCCTGGGGAGATTCTGATTGGACACAAGAGGAAAATTTTTCACAATGAGAACAATCAGCCATTGGAATAATCTCCCCAGGGAAGCAGTGGATTCCCCATCATTGGACAGTTTAAAATCCAGTTGGACAGGGTGCTGGGCCATCTTGTCTGGACTGTGCTTGTGCCAAGAAAGGTTGGACCAGATGCTCTTTGAGGTCCCTTCCAACCTGGTATTCTATGACTGAATTATTTGCAACAAAGTAAAATTACACTATTTGATACGCAGACCTTAGTAGAGGCACACGGGGTTTCACATGCCACCATGAAAACAGAAAACTTGCAACTTCTGTTCCATTCTTGAAATACACCCATTTCTCTAATAATCATTGTAAGACTACTATGGGACAATAGAGAGTCAGTGCTGAACACCCCTAGAAGGATGCTTCAAGGGCAGATATGAAAGATGAGACATACATCAGCTAACGAATGGGGTGAACTGTGCACATGAAGACACAGAACAGAAATGCAGTAGAAGACATCAGAGGTCTATGGCAAATCAATGTAAGAAAGCATAGGATGAGATCACAGAAAAGAAACAGAAAAGTTTGGGTTCGAAGGGACCTTTAAGGGTCATCTAGTCCAACTCCCCTGCAGTGAGAAGGGACATCTTCAACTAGATCAGTTTGCTCTGAGGCCCATCCAACCTGACCTTGAATGTTTCAAAGGATTGGACATCCACCACCTCTCCGGGCAACCTGTGCCAGTGTTTCACCGCCCTCCTTGTAAAAACTTCTTCCTTCTATCTAGTTGGAATCTACCCTCTTTTAGTTTAAAACCATTACCGCTTGTCCTATCATAACAGGCCCTACTAAAAACTCTGTCCCTTATCTTTCTTACAAGTGCCCTTTAAGTATTGAAAGGCTGTAATAAGATCTCCCCAGAGCCTTTGCTTCTCCAGGCTGAGAGTGATTATATTTAGCAGAACCTCAGATAAAAATCGTTTATACCCACTCACACTCTCACACCCACAAACGCCAAATGTATTGGCCAGCTAGTGTGGCCAACATCACTTGTGTCCCACACAGAGGACAAGGGATACTGGCTGTCAGGTCCTCGCCACATCTCCTGGTTTCTTTCCTGGAGACAACAAACGTGGTTTATAGGGCTTATAGGTCTTTTATACCATGTAGAGCTTAACAGCTTCTTTGGCTGGACCCTTTGGCTTCAGTTTTGTTCACTTCAGACTTCAGATCTTTTAGGCAAGTCTGTTGGTCAAAACCTCCATCTCCTCATTTTGAGTTTCTTAGGGCTGCTACACTAGGAAACGGAATGGCAGCAGTGATGTGCTGTGACCTTGCTGACAACCTCCTAGTTTTGGAGCAAGAGGTCTCCTCCTGTCAAGTTTCAGGGTTACCAGCATGATCCTTGACTGCTTTGCAGCCAACTGTGCAACCAGTTAGAATAGAATAGAAACCATGCTTCCAACCCTCGTTCTGCTGTTTCTTCTGCTGCTTACACATCCTTATTGCATTCAAACCATTCTTAATAATCCTTTTATAGATCTCTACAGAGATCTGGCCAATAAAGCAGAGAAGCACACAAGAAACACAGACGCACCTTTTTTTTTTTTAAATAAAAAGAAGAAAAAGGATCATTGGTGAGCAATGTGAGTTTAGAAGGGCAAAGATTCGAAATAATAAATATTTTCACATCTTCTGTTTGCAAAAGTACACTGGTGAGAAATACATATCAGGTGTGGTGGCATACAGAGATTTTTTGGAAGACAAGGAAGCACAGGTACTAATAAAAATATTTACTGCAGACTGTCAAAATAGCTCAAACTATCTGCTGAAAGACAATAGTAAGATTTGTAAATTAAAGAGCTGTATTATGAAAAGCAGAAGAGGAAACAGAAAAAACAGTGCTTGCAATTCATTTAGCTTTGCAAAAGTTAACAACGGTTAGAATATAATTCCTCCTGTGGCTCCAATTATAATGCAATATTAAAGAGCCCATAAATTCACTGTTCTACCCAACCTTTATCCACTGACATTTTCTTAACTTAAAATGTTAACGTGTTGCAAAATAAAATAACGGTAACATACAGCCACACACCTGACTTTATGCTGAACACCGACTGCAGAAGGAACTCCAAGAGTTTAACAGCGCCTCTAAATGTGAGGCACACCCCCTCTCACCCACAGTAGCCCAGCTCTTAAATGAAATGGAAATCAAATCCAGCAGCCACATTTCGTCCTGCTCCACACTGCCTGATGATGTCTAAATGCACGGCCAGGTTCCTGGCTTCTCTGGAATTGTGTGTGCCTCACAGCATCAGTCCAGCCAGTGCCTGTGATAGTCCATAAATTAAGCAGCACTGGAGTCTGGTAATCCAGCTTGCAGTCCAGTGCCCATTGGAGGGACTGACTTGACCTAAATCATCAAAAATGTCAGCAATGAAACTAAGAATCTAAACCCCCTCCCGCTTCCCTGTATGGTTCCCAACGCAGCTCAAGGTACAGCTATTTCTTCCAGTAGCACAGCAGAAGAACATGTTTAGGATGGGGTTACAACAAAGTGGAAAGGGTGGCTTCTAGAAGATGGAAACAGGCTGCAACATCACCAGCACAGAAAAATTTCCAAAATTACCCGCAGAATGGCAAAATGAAGCAAGATCCTTGAGCATGATAACAGAAAGTCATTCTAAACATCCACTTTCCAGAAAAAAGTCTTTTTGTGTCCTTTACACTCAAAGAATTGAGACATATCTCAGTTTTTGAGTTAGAGGTGGCCTGTATCTCAAAGGTGGTTATACCAACTGTCTTTAGGCTTTGTAGAAAGTATTTTCATTGCCTCTACTTAGTGTGCAAATTTTCAGCCAACTCCATCTCATTAACGTCACAGGGAGCTATCAGATATTACTTATTTATGGTCTAACTTGGATTCAACTGTAATTACGAAATGCACCCTACAGCATTAAAAATGCAAGTATTTCAATAGTTTCCCCTACTAACAGAAGAGATGAATCATGCTGTTCTAATATGCTGGTTATTTAGCCAGTTATAGTGACTGTAAAATAAAATACTGGGAGAGCAACTTCGCAGTAGTTAAAGAATCGAAGAATTTTTAATGCATTATAAATGCTTGGTTGGAAAACACCAATAAACTGTCTTCTCCCAAATACACACATTCTTATTCCTCTGGCATGTTAGGATGTTAAATAATATTACAACATTAGTTCTCAAGATGATCCATGTGATAGCAGCGAGGGAGGAAAGGAAAAATCACTGTTGACTATCTTCAATCTACCTAACTTTTGGACAAGTATTTTCAGTTGCATGTGCTCATTGAGATATATAATGCACATGCCTTCTGCTTCAAAGTGTGATTCTCTTCCAAAAATGGAACTGGAAGAATCACTCATATTGAACAGTTTCAGACTCTCAGATGCAGATGGATCTGGGCCTGTAAAGAACAAATGGGCAGTTTTCAAAGTGCGGATCCATCTTGCACCACTAAAAAGGCACTACGGAACCAACCACTTCCCTGTTCCTTCTCCATACAAGTAATTACCTCGCCACAGGGAAGACATTGACTGTGATGGATTCAGAAGAAAAAATGCTTAAGTCTGACCCAGGAGTAAACACTTACTCCGTATCAATGGAAGCAAGGTGGTGGTTCAAGCCTGGCGTTTATCTGGGATTGTATTAAAGCACACTCCAGTCTGTAAAAGCTACATACTAAAAAAAAAAATTGATATAAATCACTTGTCTGAAGGACCCATCTGGTGCTCCTTGCTTTTAATTAAATTTAGCATAGAATTTAAAGCAAGATATTATTCCCACTGCTCATTTTAAAATGGCCATAATATTGCTTACATTAAAACAGGTTGTAAGATCTGGAGTACTGTTTGCTCCGTGTATATCCCTCCTGAGGGAGATCACCTCATTGATCAAGTACTGGTTTATATTTATGCAGTATTAACAGTTCCTAAAATAGAGGCTAACACATTAGATTTTGAAACTTAAAAAGATGGCCTGCTACTTAACTTCTTTGTTAGGACTTTACTTTTCTGGAGAATGGAAGAGGAAACAAGTACTGAAATTGCTCCTGTTCTTTCCAACTCTTAAGGAACCACCAGTTTGCTTCCTACTAAGAAATGAACTTTACCAAGCAGTTCACGAACAACAGAAGCGTATTTGGCTTCAGTTGTGTTGAAACGTATGTTTCTATTTAACCTGACATATTTTCAGAGTTCAGTTTACAATCAAAAGCTGCTACCTAAAGAGTCTGAAATTAGTCCACGCTTAACTTGTCGCAAAATCACTTCCTTAATTTATGATTTGTGTCTGACAATGGGTGAATATCTGCAATTTCTGCAAGTCATACGTTATTTGTATGATGTGGTAACTCAAAAGAGGTCTTCAATGCCATTTGAAAAGTAACTCCTCCATTTCAAAAAGCCTTCCTTCCCACCAACCTCCCTTCCCCTGCGTGCACAGAACAAGATGCATTTGCAAAGATGGGCATAAAAATTTCTTAACATATTTCCTAATTAAATTTCCATTTTCTAGGCTGTGATGCAAGCAGAATGTTTAAAAAAACCCAACACATCAAACCCCCAAACACTCTGCTGAAAAACAAAACCCAAACATCTTTCCTAAACAAGAAACACTTAGCTGTCTTAAATTAAAAGTACCTGAAAAATGTCACAAAGAACTGTACCAGGTCCATAAAGTTGCTGTGTTGTGAGAATGCAATCTGCAAAAGAAAAGCAAATGCTTTCTATTACTTACTAAAAAGAAAATTCCTATTTAAGATGCAGTGCTGCTGGGATCAAAAAATTAAATTCAATACTTCTTAATACTTAAGTCAATTAACATTTTTAAACATCTTTGAAAAAGCACAGAAATATTCTGAGGGAAAAGAAAACAAACTATAACTTCACATTATTTTGAAATCACATATCTAAAAAAATGAATTTAAAAAGTAACATCTCTCCCAACAATGTTCAAGGAATCGTCTTCAGTGCACATTATCTACCTTGGAGAAAACACTAGTTCAAAAAGTTAGAACACAGAAGTTTCACAGAGCTAAAAATAGAGCATCTTTAATTACTGTATGTACGGCAACCCAAAGAACAACATTTAAAAGTTGTAAAATGCATGCTCCTATTCAAACAATATTCATACATCAAAATCTCCTTGAATAAGTAACTTACACCAAGAGCAGCAAAAAGGCATGAAATACAGAAGATAATAGATACTGTAAAAACAGCTATGGCATTCATCTTAACTCACTTTCCTGCAATCCACTCAAAACTGGAAAGAAAAGTGAAAAACAACCGAGTATTTTGGACAAAAAACAGAGGGAAGAAGCGAACAGGAAATTGGGAGGTGGTTAGAGGCAAAAGGAAAGATTAGGGAGCCTGGTTAAAAATAACAAAGCGGAGGGGAGGCAAGCCAACAGAAAGGCAACTTCTGCAATATTAGGAATCAGAAGTGCTTTCCAGGTACCTCCTATTTCCTCTGACTATCAATCTCAGCACCACAACAGGATATTAACTCTTTCACAAAGTTACTGAATTTATTTCAAAACTAAAGTGAAATCTGCACTTACAAAAGTTTTCCACGGATATTAAATTCACTTAAGGCATCCTTTGTTGTTTTCTTTTTCCTGGACAAACTGCGTGTTATGGTACCATTAGCATAAATACAAATCTCTCCTCCCAGCAATAGTCACATTCCAAGAATCGTGAATATATGCAAAATGAGTTATTGCTTGGATTTCTGTTGCTCTAGAACACCTTCTATTATCATATTTACTTTAATTATCCATTGTAACTTGGTATAGAAGCTGACCAAAATATTTTTCTTATAAATATGTTGAAATGCTTTTAAGTTGAAAGCTCCTTTACAGTGTGTAACTTCTGTTTCGCTGGAAAGCTAACTCGAAACCTGCAGACCAGATGCTTATGACCTCAATATTACTGCCTACAAAAGACAAGAAAACACACAGTTTCTTGCTGAACTTTTCCTTATAAAGTAGTTCCCAATAGCTTTCTAATTAGAAAAAGAGAGTATCATTTTGCTTTTTATTTTAAAACTCGGTGCATGGTAACTGAGGTGTCTTTATATTTGCACAACTATTCCAGCATTGCTTTAAGGCAAAGAATTTTCTTACTAAAACTTACACATCCCAAAATACAAACACGTAACATATCCAGTATATAGAAATATAGTCTAAGAATAACTACGATGCTGACTGACTATAAAAGATGCATTTCAAAACAAAGACCTTATTATGTACCAACAGCTTATATTTAAAAATCCTTTTGTAGGAAAAAAAAATAATATTAAAAGCACAAAGAAATCATTAATGAGCCAGTCCTCTGCAGACGATAACTAGGACCAGTTTCTGTGATGAAAACAAAAGCTTGCTCCAATTAGAAGAAGAAACAAGCATCTGCTAATTTTAACAAAGGACAGATTCTATGGAAGATTATTGAGACTGCAAACTCATCTCTAAACCATGACCAGAGAAGGGCTTCTCAATTTTTGGTAATACAAGTGTAGGAAAGAAATAAAACAGAGAAGGAAAATTTGGGTTTGTTTCACACAGAAGCACTATAAATGCTTTACCAGTAGTGGTTCTTTTGCCTACCTGTTGGAGCTCTTCTCTTGCAAAGACCAACTGAGGATCTGTACCTCATACACAGATTAAGAAAAAAGCCTAGGTTGGTTTCTACAATTTACTTCTCACAAGCTGAACACACTTTATGCTATTAAACCTGACCAATCTGTGTCACAGGCAATTTAGTGTCATAATTGTTAATGGTTTGCTTACTTAGAGCTTAATTTCCCCTAATATAATCTGTTCCTAGGACTCAATTAATTCAGTTACATAGAGAGTTTGGTTAGAAATAGCTGTTACAAGAAGACTGTTCGTTCTGGATATAGGAAAAATATGGCACAAATTTCTTAGCGGTATGGATTTTTAATTAATTTTAAATGACAGTAGAAGATTCATTTATCTATTCTCAAAAAACTAATTCTGTACCAAAGGCACAAACAGTGTAACTGCAGGCAAACACCGCGTATCTCGCTCTGGGGATTGGGAGAGCCTCCTCCAGGTACTGAGCAGACAATCAGCCCAGCAGCCAAGTCAATTTGCCACTTTCAAAACACACGTGTCCTTTAAAGATGTTTTATACTATGTTCCTAGGAATAATGCAGTATCCTTAAGTAGTTAAGATCAAAACAGATCAGAAAATTAATTACGTTAATTCCAGAGAATATTATAAAGCTGGCGTTTATCTGATCTGAAAAGGCACCTGAAAAAGCACAGCAGCCTATCACGCTTTTTCTAATGTCACATCATTTGAAGTACCAAAAAAAACCCCGGCTGCTTTCCAGATGAACAAAAATAGTGGGCTGATAAAAATGTATAATTGAGAGCTTTACTTTCTTTATCATATGATTAGCATAAAATATTAAGCCAAGGAGAAAATTGGCTACCTCTAACTACCCAAAAACATCTAAAAAGTGCAATAGTTTTGAAATCAGTACACACAGATTTTAAAGGAGTTAACAGCAAAGTACTTGGCCACAAAATATTTCGTGAAAAGGAAAAGAAATTTGAACCCAACTGACATTTCAGTAACAGTTGGTATTTCAAACTCAAAATACTTCTGGAGGTAAACTATAGCCTGCGACTGATGTAAATTTTGACCAACAAATTGGGACGATTACATAACCAGGAACTGGTTTGCATTACTATTCCGGTTTGTGCTTCAAGAGAAAAGAAACCTGAGAATAATTTTGTACAAAAATGGGTCCAGCTGACTCTTAGTCAACTTCTTATTTTGAAACAAGTTCACCTTAAGCCGGCAAGTGCAACTATAACTGAAGTTATTTAAGCCTCCATTCTTTTGATTTACAAGTGCTCTGAACTCATTAAAAAGTATTTGAATTTCACATACCACTAAGAAAAATTACTATCACCAAACCAATGAAATTCTGTAGAAATGTTTTTGTTTGGGGTTTTTTTCATTAAATATAGCAAGAAACAAATTTGAGTAACTCCTCTCGCTTACCTGTAATAAACAGATTTACAGATAAATCATCACAACATAACTCTTTCCACTTGTGCTGGAAGTTACTGGTATTTTAGAGAAACAGAAGCCAAACTATCAGTCACAATGGGGACGGGGCAAATCTCTCTCCAAACCCAAGTAATTTCTAGTATTATACATAGCGCTAGTACTCCTAATCTAAATGTGTTAACTGAAGAACTGCTAAATGTACTGAATGACATTTCAAGTGTGGCATCTTCATAACATAATTTGGAGCATTTTGGGTAGCTAAAAGCTTGAGAAAACATGAACAAACACAGAAAACATTGTTTCTACACCTTTTCTTTCCCTGTTAACAATCCAGGATTATTTATGTGCCGTATTTCACATTTGTCCACTATTGCATAAAGTGACTCAATTCACACCAGCGCTGCCTTTCTTTTCAACCCTACTTCATATTAGGGCTGAGAAACTGAAAATTATATTTTGAACAGGACATGCTCCTAGAATAGAATTGTAAAGGAGAGAAAAAAAAAGTCTAATTAACTTATGCAACCAGAGAGGTACAACAGAGAAGGCACAACGTGAAGCAGACTACTGGAGTCTGGTGCTTGCTGTGAATTCAGAAGATATCAAAAGGGTCCCTACTGCTACTTCCATTAACCTCACCTAGCAGGGGGGAGAACACTACAGCACTCCTGTTTTGAAAGTCTATCGGACCACACGGGATGGAAAACCATGGAAATGCAGAGATTTCAGGGTGCTTTCCTTTTTATTTAAATATAGCTCCAGTGCTGGGAGCTCCAAGGGCTTCCAAAGAGATACAGCCAAACAAGCTGCAGATGACATTTATGTACATCTTCCTCTCTCTCTTCCTCAGCACCTCCACTGTCTTTTTTTTTTTTTTTTATTTTCTTATGGTTAGAGGCAAGGATTCAATCTGACCTTGGAGAATACAGACAACAGCAAGAGGATGCCGTGGCCTGAATGCTGAGTCTCTGCGCTTCTGTCAAAGAACCTGCTGAAAAACAAATGGTTTTTAAATATTCCTGAGTGATGCCAAAGTCATCAAAACATTCATTTTGCCCTCCATGACAGCGATGGGGGGATAGACTGCTCTTCTGCTCAAGAGAAACATGATTCCTGGTTTCAGTTCTGCTTTAAACACAAACACACCGGTGGCCCTAGTGAAACACATGGCAGACAACAGATAGTGTTCTTGGTGCTCTCCACTCAACAGGAGCGAGCCAACTCCAACAGCCTCAGTGGTGAGGTTTCAGGAAAAAACGAGCCAACCTAGCAATCCAGCTCCACCACCTAAAAGGTGGTCCCGGCTCTGCCACATGCTGCTGCTTCGTATGTTCTGTGAACATCTTTAATGAGCCAAGGCAAGCTGATAAGCCAGCAGAGAGCTAACCATAGGAATGCGGGGAGCTTTGCTGGTATTTCTGAGCTGACGCAGCTCACTGAGGGATCAGGCAAACTCAGCAGCAACATAAAGGAGGAGCAGGGCAAGATGACCATTTTGGGGCAGTTGGCTGTCAAATCATCTCAGTGATGTTAGCTCCCAGGACAACTTTTCAGAAGGAAGCGTCTGTTTACTTCTGCAGATGAGATTTATGGGATTCAGTCACAGATTAAGACATCAAAATACAGGAATAGAGAGGTACGTGCCTATCGTTCCTTT